TACGGGAATCACTGCATCCCTAGAGGCTAGCAGGGCCCCGTGCTTGGTAAAGGAGAGGGACAGCGAACCAGAGAGCGACCCGCACTAACATGGGTGGACGCTGTCCTCAGAGTCACCCCTTTGCTCTGCAATCCTGGCCGCAGATTTACCCAGTGCAGTGTGCTGAATTCATTGGCTCTCTTGACTTTTGTTTCTCTGAGCGCTGATAGTGCATCCAAGCAAGATGAAGCAGGTGACAACGTCAGTCTTTGCCTTGTATCATGATGTTGTTGGTCCAGGTGTAAGGAATCACTGAGGTTAAACCAACATAACGAGGCAATGTTCCTCCATTTGCAAAGGTAGCAGATGATCAAGGAGAAGGTTAAGCATCTCTACTCCCCGAGCAGCTAAATCATCCTCTGACAGCAGCCTCTAGAGAAGCCATTCTACCTGGGCATGGGGAGACACATTCCTTTCAGAAGGGTCCCGGGGCTCCTCTGGGTCTCTGGCCCCTTGCCTTTTGTCTAGGCTGTTCCTCCCATGTCGTCCTTTCTCTCTCAGAGCCCTTTTCCTCCCAGGACTCCATCAACGTCTTCCTTTTTGGTTCCTTTTAGGACTCTGCTGCTCTGTTCTTGAGTTCCCACGGGAGACGTCCTCTGTCTTTTCTTGTTAAGTCCTCGTGGCACCGTTGTGATGTCTTTAACCTTAGAGACAGGAGGCTATTCCAGCACACGTCCAGTTGAGTTCTCTATTGTTGCCATTAGGTGCCGTCAGGCTGGCTTTGGTGCATAGGGACCCTCTGCACAGCAGAGTGAGACACCCCCTAGCCCCGAGCATCCTCACAACTGCTCCTGTGCATGAGCACATCGTTATGGACCCTGTGTCAACCTCTCCTCCTTTCCCCCCCCTCCCCCCCCCCCCTCACCATTGTTCCGATGTTTCAGCCATTAGGTAGCCTCTGGCTCAATCTATCTTGTCGAGTATCTTCCTCTGTTTTGATGCCGGTTACTTCACCAAGCAGGATGTCCTTTGGGAATGCAGTGACTTACTTCTCTCCAACTAAGAAGCTACCTCTTTCCTCAAGAATAGCAGCCCCATTCTTTTCCATGGTGTGGCAGTTACAGATTCTGTGGTCAATTTGAGCATTAAAAGTGAAGGGGTGGAGTCTAGCTGTCAATCAGCCCATAACCAATGAAGCCTCTGTGTGGGCATGGCCTTTTCCTGAGGATTCTGGGTACTCCTGTATTTCCTCCTTGGAGGTGGGAGACACTGTCTCTCTGTGCTCACTCCCTGAGAGGTGGCACTACGCTGATAGACCTTGTGCCCTGAGAACTGGAGGTGCCATGTGGAAACCCATGCTAGCACTGAGATGCTTTTACCACCACTGGATCCACAAGACTTTGGACCCAATGGCCTGTGATCTACCTGCATTTGGCTTCATTGCATGTGTTTTGTGAGTGTGAAGAGGACTTTATAGATGGGTATCAGACATATGGGCTAATACCAACTTACGGACTTTATCTGGACTGGACTGGGATGTTTTCTCAATATTCAATTGCTCTTGTATATAAACCTCTTTCTTGTACACATAAGAGTGTGTCTTTATTTGTTTCTCTAGTCTACGCAGACTGACACATATGGGCATTCAATAGAATTGACCCCTTCGATGACTGAAGACGACTTTGAGTCTGAGCAGCTCCAGCTGCGTGCTCAGCACATGTGCAAAGAGAGCACGCAGAGGGCTCTGAGGCTAGGTGGGAAAGCTAAGCGTTTGGTTCTCACGGTCATTGAGTCCATACGGACTGGTCTGACTTTGTAGGGCAGAGCAGCACTGCCCCTGTGCGACTCCCTGCCGTTCTCCCTGGGGAGTGGCTGGTGGCCTTGAACTGCTTAGCAGTTAGCAGCACTACCAGGGCTCTACTTGGTACTTAGACCAGCAGTTATGAACAACAGCAAACCCCCCTGAAAACACCAATACTTGAAAACATAAATTATTTGGGATAATAGTACCTAGATGTTGAGCAACATATATATACAGTACATTTCCTTTCCAGTCAACTAGAAGAAAAAAAGGGGCGTCTTTCACACTTACCGACTTTAGCTTTGGGTGTGCTTTTCATCCCCCGTAGCATCCGTTTCCACTGGAAGTCACTGAAATGCAACCACAGCATTTCTAGTGTACGTAAGTTTCCCTTGAGGGATTCTCTCCCTTTCTGTTCCCCTGAAACTCTCTTAATTTTACCCTCTTTCTGTTGTAGTATAGAATTCTGTTTTGACTCTTTTATTATGAAAAGATGGTGTTCCGTTTGTGTCATATGGAGGCTGTGTTAGTCTGGGTTCAATAGAGAAAGAAATTCATTGACACTCTTATGTGTGTAAGAGAGAACTTTATATCAAAGAACAATTGTACATTAAGAAAACATGATGTGATTTTTTCCCTTGATGGTTGATACCTGATCCCTTCGATACTTTGTGATCACACAGGCTGGTGTGCTTCTTCTATGTGGGCTTGGATGCTTCCGTGCTAGATGGCTGCTTGTTTACCTTCAAGCCTTTAAGATAAGGTGACCAGATTTAAAGCAGGACACCATTGACCAAGGGCAGGGGGGCGGGGGAAGTGGTGTTCGTGATTAAAAATTTGGTCTATATGCACCAAATAGACTGGTCCCTAGCTTGTCATGCGTTCTATCCTAAAATTGGGACTTTTTAAAAATGCCAAAAATTGGGACTGTCCCTCCAAAAGCAGGATGCCTGGTCACCTTACTTTAAGACCCAGGCACTATAGCTTTTGATAGCCGGGCACCATCAGCTTTCTTCACCACACTTGCTTATGCACCCAAGACCTTTCATTTTTTATAGCTTAGTTTCTCTCTCAACATCACCTCTCCATTCCCTCATTCACACAATATCTTCCTTTAACATAATTGTATAGCTGCCTTAAAATCATTGTTTCCCAAGTTTGACGTATGGCTCATCTGATTTTGTTTCTTGACTGCTTTTATTTTTTTCTTTCTTGATTGTGGGTCTCATTATCATGTAGCTTTGCATGTCTAGTGATTGTTGATGATGTGTTTGACTATGCAAATAATGCGCTTTAGAGACTCCTGTATCTATGACCTTCTTTTGACAGCTGATTTCAGTGTTAGCTGGGATTAAGTTGAGTAAATTATCAGGTGTTCACCTGGACGTGTGAAGACTTGGTTTTTGTTTAGGGTCACTCTGTGGAATGTCTTCAGCGTTTCAACTTGGTGGTGCTCATATTCCAGAATGTCTCCCATGGAGGTCTTGTTATGGATCATGATGGGTTTTGCTAGAGCCTTCTAGGGCAGGTCTTAACTGTAGGGGTAGCCCTGAAACCGGCATCGGTCTCATCTGGATGCCCGGGGGTTTCATTCTCACCTTGTTGCTGCTTCACTCTTATAAACCCTCACTTGGCTTACCCTATGTGAATGTAGCCCCGCACTCTTCCTCATATTCATCGGTAACCATCACAGAGACTTAGGACCCCTGCTGTATGCAGTGGTCCCTTCCTTTTGATGCCCTGGCCTTCGGATTCCTAGCGCTTCAACTGTCCCAAACTCCGATGTCTTCCTCCTTAGCAGGATAGAACCATGGTGGTTTACTCAAGTGCAGATTCCCTGCACTGCTTGGGAAACTGAGTCCAGACAGAGATCTGGATGAAGATTCAGCTAACCTCCCGAGCTTTCTTTTTCTCAGGAATCACAATCTTGTGCTGCCTGAAAATATTTGTCAGATACTTTTTACTGATCTGTAGTTGACTGGTAGGCTAGTCTATGTCCAGTAATTCTCTCCAGTTCTCCCCGGAGTCTGTTTTACTCCTTTAACTGATAGATATTCTGTCATACCTTCTTTCCCTGGGGGAGCACCCTCTTGTAGCCCTAGGGCTCATGCTTGGTCCAAATTCTGTCCTGGGCTTTGGTAGAACTGCACGTCCATTTGGGATATCCTGCCACCTTATCTCAGCTTGGTTCCTTAGCGAGGGATCCAGTGTCATCACGCACCAGAAGTTCTGTGTAATCCAACCCTTCGATCCATACATACCTGTGTTAGTCTGGGTTGACGAGAGAAACAAATCCAGAGACACTCATAAGTGTGTACAAAGTACTTTATATCAAGAAGTAATAACGCATCAATAAGATCCCAGCCCAGTCTAGATCAAGCCCATAAGTTCTATATGTACCCATAAGTCTGATATTAGCCCATGAATTCCTCTTCAGACTCATACAGCAATGATGCCAAATGCAGGAAGATCACAGGGTGGTGTGTGGAAAGACCTGTGGATCCACTGGTGGAAGCATCTCCAGGTTGCCATCATTGTGGCTCCATGTGGCTGGTCAACAGGGATGTGTAGCAGCGTGTGTCCCACGTTTAGGGAGGAAGAGAGGCATCATCAGGCTGTGGTATAATTGACAGGCTAGACCCCACCCCTTCATTTTTATTTATCAAGATGACATAAAATACTGTAACTACCACGGCATCCCGTGGGCAATAGTCTCCTTATTCTTCTATGTGTACCTGCCAGCTCTCCCACTGCGTGCTCATCTCCAGGGACTCACAGATGAGTTGTCCTCCTCCTGTCTGTCATGGACTCCTTCCTGCACACGGGAGGCTCCCTGTCACACTGAGAGGAGAATCTGGAGATCCGTGTTCTGGGAATTCCTCAACACCAATACAGGTGGCATCGTAAAGAATGCGGCAGAGCCTAGACTGAGCCAGGAAGATCGATGGGCAGGTTTCCAATGGAAACAAGAGCTGGGAGAAGATGCAATTCGTCATGACATTGAGGGCCAAACAAACCCCCTGCCCAAGCCCCTCTAAATTCTACAACAGACACTAAAGTTTGGGAGACAGCCCAGAGGAAGCACAACCAGGAAAACAACAGTCGTGCTTCCTGTTGCTTGGATGCTCATGGGGCCTGGATATAAAGGCTCCCAGCAGGAGGAGCCTTCAGACCATTGCCCCCTCCTCCCTGCAACCTGCTCCAGCCACACCCACCCACCATGTGCCACACCAGCTGCTCCTCTGGGTGCCAGGCGGCCTGCTGCCCAGCCCCGTGCTGTGTCCCCACCGCCTGCTGCTCACCCTCCTGCTGCGGGAGCTCCTGCTGCCGCCCAGTGTCCTGTGTGCCTCTGCTGTGCAGGCCTGTGTGTGGTGTGTCCACCTCCTGCCAGTCCCCCTGTGGGGCTGCCAGCTGCTGCTCCGGTGGCTGCCAGTCCCCGTGCTGCCCCTTGGCCTGTGGCCAGGCAGCCTGCTGCGTGCCTTTGAGCTGCAAGCCTGCTCTGTGTGTGCCTGTGAGCTGTCAGCCTGCCTTCTGCCTGACCCCTGTGTGTCAGTCCTCCTCTTGCTGCCAGCCCTCCCGCCCCACCCTCATTTGCAGACCTGTGTCCTGTGGCAGCCCTGCCTGCTGTTAACCTCATGTCTCCAAGCCAGCCATTCCCAGTGTGGACAGATGTCCACTCAAATGAGTCCTCTGTGGGCCTGCCGGTTCTATGCAGGGGGCAGATGAAACATTCTCAACCTACCTCTGGGTCAAGAAGCCTCTCCGGTGACAGCACCGTCTGGACTCCTCTCTAACCCTGCCCATCCCCTCGTGGAAATCCTGGCTTCCAGGCAGCCCTTCTATGATCTTAATGTAGCAGCCCAATAAATTGTGCTTTTCCCAGGTAGCTCTGTTTCTTGCCTTTCCTTTTATTTCTGCGTTTTCTGGGATGTCTTCTAAAGGCATTTGTAGGCCAGCCCCTCTACAGAAATCCCTCACAATTTTTTCTGGCAGGTGCGGGAGCTGGCTGTCTGAGGAGGGATCCTTGGTGGGGAAAGTGGCCTCCAGGCACCAGTCTTCCCCATTTCCTGGGACTCAGTAGGCTACCTGAGGCTCTGGTCTCCCCTTCTCTTGTGTTCCTCCGAGTCATTTTCTTTCGGTTGTCACTTCTTGCCGGCAAGCTCTGGAGCGGATGTCAGAGTGTCTTACGTGAGGATTGGCTTTTCCATCTCACCAGAAGGGTTATTTCAGACGTCGTGGAGAATAAAATCCCATGGGAACTTTGACCTTTTTGACCTCAGTTTCACAGAGTTGGATTTGTCCTTAGCCTGGGGCTTCCATCACTAGGAAATATACAAGGGGCTTCAAAGAGTCCCTGGGTGAACCCCTGGTGGTGTAGTGGTTGCAGGTTGGGCTGCCATCTGTAGGGTCAGAAGTTCAAACCCACCAGCCGTGCCTGGGGAGAAAGATGAGGGTATCTACTCCCATGAGCAGTCACAGTCTCAGAAATTCACAGGGGTGGTTCTACTCTGTCCTATAAGGTTTCCATGGGTCAGCATAGAGTCAATGGCAATTTATTATTTTTTAAAATAATTTTATTAGGGGCTCATACAACTCTTATCACAATCCATACATACATCAATTGTGTAAAGCACATCTGTACATTCATTGCCCTCATCATTCTCAAAACA